TCCTGCCACAGGGGCAGGGACATGCCTGGCAGCTCTGTTTTCCCCAGGCGCCCAAGTCCCCACTCCCCGGCACCCTGCTCCCTCCCGCCCGTGGGGTCCTGCTCCCAAATCAGCTCACCTTGCACCCTGGGCGCAGCAGCCTCGCGCCCCATGGCCGTTTGCTCGGCTGCTCCCTGGCGGTGGGCTGGTCGCAGCGGAGGCCAGAGCGCTGCCCCTTCCCCTCCCACCCCGCTACCAGCCCAGGGAGCCGGCGCAAGCTCTGGTCCCGCCCCAGCAGCGGCGGACTGCCCACTTTCCAGGCTAACAGGGACAACAGCTTCCATTCCTGGTGATCTCTGGACATCCTTCTTACCTGTTTGCCGCAAAATTGCCCAAAGGGAGTATTTGCAGAGGTGCAAAAACAGACTGGCAAGAGGGCTTCTTGCCCAGAGGGTTGAAATCCTGTCTTCTGGGTCTAGAAATATCACCTGTTGCCCACAGTTTGGGGCCTTTTATTTAGCCTGGGATAGAAGCGACTTCTGTTTGGCCCTCTAAATTAGAGGGGTGTCTTTTCATTGTATCCACTTACTGGGTCTGCCTTCCATCACTCAGCAAGGTGGTTTAAAAATCCTTTGTAACTGTGTGGAAGGGCAGAGTGTCTGTACCACCAAATCTAGGGTGCAGCCCTCTTGCCATATGACTTGGGAACAGCCTCTTCCCTTCTCTGAAACTCAGCTACATCATCCAAGAGAACTGAACCCTAAGGTCCTTTCCAGCATCAAACATGAGTCTTCTCGTGTGGACGCATAGAGAAAGCCCCTTCTAGGCTCTGCCATGAATGGGCATTGAATGCCCTTTCTGCACTGCCATGCTGATGGGCATTAAAACCACCAGTGCACCCTCTGAGCATGCCAGGGTGAAGGCTCAAGAATGTTAAAGTAGGTATCCCAGAGCCCAGGGGAGAAAGATCCTCCCTAGCTACTGGTTGGGTATTTTAATTATCATGCTTATCATTAATATTATTTGAGTCCCAGCCTCTCCTGGGAAATATTTTGCATTCAGAGAAAAAATATTCTACAATTTTACTGCTTTTAATCACTTCCTCAATTTGTCATTTGGAATTATTTGACCCTATTTGTTTCAATCTATCTACACATTTGAGATAGACCTTCGTAGGATTTAGAGAAAGTTAAATGTTTTTAAGAAGAAGATTCAGGAGAAGGCATCAGTTTACGCAAAAATCTGGAGGCTGAGAATTGAAGGAAATGTTTAGGTAATAAAAGCATGAGGTAATAAAAACTGAAAAATATTCAGTTTTCTAGGAATATTAAAAAAAAAAAAAAGTACATCTAGAAGAGTAGTGGGGATGAATAAGTCCTAAAACGTAGCATGAGAATAGACTGTGAAAAGACTAAATTCTCTCTCTGCAATCCTGGCTCTGAGAAAGCTGCCAATGATCACGAATCCTGTAAGCTACAAGCAGACTATCTCTGCCATCACCCCAGGGAGATTAGAAGCAGCTCCTTCCACACTGAGCTTTTTGATGAGAACCCAGCCATGGCCTACAGCTTGATTGCGGCCTGATGAGACTCTGAGCAAAGGACCAGCTAAGCCGTGCTTGGACTCCTAACCCTGGACTCACAGAAACTGTAAGGTATTAAATGTGTGTTGTTTTAAGCCACTGAGTTTGTGATCATTTGTTACGCAGCACTAGGTAACTAATACAGAGTTTGGTGAGAAGCCTGCATCTAATTACACAGGCAAGGGGAAGCCATTACAAGTGTTTGATCAGGAAAGTGTAATAAAAGCTAACTCAAATGTGTTTAGTACATTATTGTCTACTAGTTCTTCTGTTGGGCAGGCACTTCATTTAAATATTTTATCAGTAAGTTTCTACTAAGAAAAAAGGACATCCCAGGAAACTATTTGAAGAAAGGAACCAGGTTGTTGTTACCTTAAAGATTTAATCTTTCTTATTTCCTTTTTTTTTTTAATCTTCATTGTTGAAAGAATTACAGATGTCCCCTTTTTCCCCCCATTGACCCTTTCTACCCCTCACGCACCCTCCACCGCAGGCCTTCACCTCCCCATTGTCTGTGTCCATGGGTTATGCATTTATGCATATAAATTCTTTGGTTAATCTCTCCCCCACCCCCACCCACTCCCACCTTCCCTTTGAGATTCGTCAGTCTGTTCCATGTTTCTGTGTCACTGGATCTACTTTGTTTATCAGTTTATTTTGTTCTTTAGATTCCACATATAAGTGAGATCATGTGATATTTGTCTTTCTCTGCCTGGCTTATTTCGCTAAGCATAATTTTCTCCAGGTCCATCCATACTGTCCCAAAGGGTACAAGATCCTTCTTGTTTACAGCTGCATAGTATTCCATGGTGTAAATGGCCCACAGCTTTTTTATCCACTCATCTACTCATGAACACTTGGGCTGTTTCCAGATCTTACCCATTGTAAATTGTGCTGCTATGAACATAGGGGTGCAAAAGTTCTTTCTGATAAGTATTTTGGGTTTCTTAGGATATATTCCTAAGCGTGGAATCACTGAGTCAAAAGGCAGCTCCATTTTTAATTTTTTGAGGAACCTCTATACTGTTTTCCATAGTGATTGCACCAGTCTGCAATCCCACCAGCAGTGCACTAGGGCTCCCCTTTCTCCACACCCTCGCCAGCACATGTCGTTTGTTGACTTGTTGATGGTAACCATTCTTATAGGTGTGAAGTGATACCTCATTGTGGTTTTAATTTGCATCTCTCTGATGATTAGCGACATTGAGCATTTTCTTATGTGTCTCTTGGTGTCTGTATGTCCTCTTTGGAGAAGTGTCTATTCAGGTCCTTAGCCCATTTTTTATTGGATTATTTGTCTTCCTCTTGTTGAGTTGTATGAGTTCGTTGTATACATTGGAAATTAGCCCCTTATCAGATGTATCCTTAGCAAATATGTCCTCCCACACCTTGGGATTTCTTTTTATTTTGAGGCTGATTTCTTTTGCTGTGCAAAAGCTTTTAAGTTTGATGTAGTCGTATTTGTTTATTTTTTCTTTTGTTTCTCTTACCCTAGGAGATGTATCAGTGAAAATTCCACTATGTGAGTTGTCTGTGACTTTATTGCCTATGTTTTCTTCCAGGATTTTTATGGTTTCTCGACTTACATTTAAGTCTTTTATCCATTTTGAATTTATTCTTGTGTATGGAGTAAGTTGGTGATCTAGTTTCATTTTTTTTGCATGCAACTGTCCAATTTTCCCAACACCACACCACTTATTGAAGCGACTGTCTTTACTCCATTGTATGCTCTTGCCTCCTTTGTCAAATATTAATTGACCATAATAGCGTGGGTTGATTTCTGGGATCTCTGTTCTGTTCCATTGATCTATCTGTCTGTTGTTTTACCAGTACCAGGCTGTTTTGAATACAGTGGCTTTGTAGTATAGTTTGATATCCAGTCTTTCCTATTTCTTATGTAATCGATACACCAAATTATAATTATTATATTATGTTTGGGTTATTTGTTCAGGTTTTTATCTTCTGGTGTTTACTTTTGTGGTTAAGGTTTTATTTCCTCATTTTCTTTTTTTGGACCTTTGAAACTATAAAAAGAATAATGAACTAGAATCACATGGTTCCTTAAGCTATTTTCTTGTTTTATGGAAGACAAATAGATTCAGGGGTCAGTGCTAAACTCATGTCAGCTTAAGGGAAACTTTACTCTATCAGTTTATCACACAAACATTATCTCTGTCTTTACCTCTGTGACCATGAAGGCTCACACCCCTCCATGCACACACTCAGTGTCAAGCTGCATCCACACTCTCACCTCTGCTGAGGTACCCATAATGCAACTTGTCACTTTTGTGAGCCCCAATGGCATTACTAATGACCAGCACAGGATGCTTAAGTTTGAAGCAGATAGAAGAAAGTTGTTCCAGCATTAATCTCAACTTCTCTATCTCTGCACTATTCCACTCACCATGTGAACAGAACGTTAATCACTCTTATGCTCTAACAGAAGCTCAGAGATTCACATTCTTCGCTGTTGAACTAACAATTGTTTTCATTTTCAATAGCAGTCAGTGTTGATTGAATTACCTTCATCTAACATTAAAAAATAATTTGTTACCAGATATTCCTTTTCCCTCCTTTCTCTGTTAGAATTTCTCCTCTTTCATTAAACTCTTTAGAGAACGTTAGGCCATCACAAGCTGTTGAAATTTACTTGTCTACCCTGCTAGTTTTTTATGTCACTTTTCTCTTTCTGCAGCCACATTGAGCAATATCATCCTATTTTCTTTGCCATGCTTCTGAGTTTGAATTAAAATGCCTCAGAAAAACACATAAAAGGCTCTATAATTTCTCTATTATAGCATTTTCTTTTTTTAATATATTGTTATTGATTTCAGAGAGAGAAAGGGAGGGGGAGAGAGACAGAAACATTAATGATGAGAGAGCCATTGATTGGCTGCTTCCTGCAAGCCCCCTCCTGGGGATCTNGGGAGAGAGATAGAAACATTAATGATGAGAGAGCCATTGATTGGCTGCTTCCTGCAAGCCCCCTCCTGGGGATCTAGCCCACAACGTGGGCAGGTGTCCTGACTGGGAATTGAACCTCTATTTCCTGGATTATAAGTCAGTGCTCAACCCCTGAGCCATACCAGCTGGGCTATTATAGCATTTTCAATGTCTTCCTTTTGACCTTTTGGATTGCTTCCATGATTAATCTTTTCTAGGGCTCTGTTGACACAACAGACCACTGTACAAGCCTATTAACCTCTGAAAAAATCAAAGTTGAAATCTGATTTGAGTATGAAGCACCAAATATTTTTTAACTAGCCTGGGCTTTATGAATACTAATCCAGACAAGTTCATCTTCGTGATGGACAGGCCCTGTGCGTGGAGGAATGGTGTGAACGAGAGATTGAAATGGAAGGTGGTGTGTCTAAGATGTGAAGATAGCATCGTGTTTAATATTAGAGTGGCTTGTCTTAGTGCTCATGTTTAGAAACGACAAAAATACAAGTAATTTAATTATCTCTGCTATTTCTTTCTTTGACTTTTTATAGACCCTCCTCCTGACTCTGCCCTTTTCTGCTTTGTGCCTGATATATGATTCTTACTTAAAGTTGTTAAGATGTTTATTATCCCTCAATTCCTAATTATACCAGATTAATATTTCTTTAAATTGAAAAAAATTAAAACCTCTT